GGAATCGACGACGACGACGACGACGACGGACGCACGGACGGACGGACGGGCGGCGGCGACGATGACGAGACGGCGACGACGCAAACCACGACGCAACCGACGTCGACGACGCAATCGACGACGCAATCGACGATGTTATCGACGACGACGACAGAATCGACGGCAGAATCGACGACGACCACGACGACGACGATGACGGAGGGACGGACCGACGGACGGACGGCGGCGGCGGCGGAGACGACGACGGCGCAAAAGACGACGCAACCGACGACGACGACGACGATCACGCAATCGACGACGCAGCCGACGACGCAATGTACGACGACGGCGACGACGGCGGCCACGACAACGACGACGATGACGATACCAACTGCGACGGCTGATGATGGGCGACGACGGACGCACGGGCGGGCGGACGGGCGGCGGCGACGATGACGAGACGGCGACGACGCAAACCACGACGCAACCGACGTCGACGACGCAATCGACGACGCAATCGACGATGTTATCGACGACGACGACAGAATCGACGGCAGAATCGACGACGACCACGACGACGACGATGACGGAGGGACGGACCGACGGACGGACGGCGGCGGCGGCGGAGACGACGACGGCGCAAAAGACGACGCAACCGACGACGACGACGACGATCACGCAATCGACGACGCAGCCGACGACGCAATGTACGACGACGGCGACGACGGCGGCCACGACAACGACGACGATGACGATACCAACTGCGACGGCTGATGATGGGCGACGACGGCGACGACGGCGACGGCGATGACGGACGGACGCATGGACGGACGGGCGGGCGGCGACGATGTCGAGACTACGGCGACGATGCACACGACGACGCAATCGACGACGACGCAATCGACGACGCAGTCGACGGCGCAACCGGCGACGCTGTCGACGACGGCGGCGACGCAATCGATGGCGACGACGACCACGACGACGACGGCGGACGGACGGCGACGGACGGCGACGGCGGCGGACGACTACGATCACAACTGCGACGGCTGACGCCGGGCGGCGACGACGGGGCCACGGACGGACGGACGGACGGCGGCGACGACGACGACGCAAACGACGACGCCATCGGCGACGCAATCGCCGACGGCGGCGACGCCATCAACGACGCGACCGACGACGTCAGCGACGCCGTCGCAAGCGGCTACGACGGCGACGTCGGCGGCCACGACGACGACGACGGCGACGACGACGACGACGACGGCGGTGACGATGACGGACGACAGCGACGGACCATGACAGTGACAACTGCGACGGCTCATGACGAGGGACGGTGACGATGACGATGACGGACGGACGCACGGACGGGCGGCGGCGACGATGCCGGGACGACGACGACGCAGCAGACGACGCAACCGACGACGACGACGCAAACGACGACGTAATCGACGACGTAATCGACGACGCAATCAACGACGATGACGACCACGACGCCGAAGACAACAACGACGACGACGGACGACGACGACGGACGATGACGATAACAAGCGCGACGGCTGATGACGGGCGACGACGACGGATGACGACGGCGGACGGACGGACGGACGGATGGACTGGCGGCGGCGACGATGACGAGACAACGACGACGCAGTCGACGACGACGCACACAACGACGAAATCGACGACGGCGACGAGCACCACGATGACGACGACGACGGATGACGACGACGATGACGATACCAACTGCGACGGCTGATGACGGGCGACGGGGATCACGGACGGATGGACGGACGGACGGGCGGCTGCGACAATGACGAAAATGACGAAACGACGACGACGCAAACGACGCAATCGACGACGTCGGCGGCGACGCAAACGACGACGCATCGACGACGTCGGCGGGCCGACGACGACCACGTCGACGACGACGACGACTGATGACGGCGACGGCTGATGACGGGCGACGACGGCAGACGACCACGACGGACGGATGGACGGACGGACGGGCGGCGGCGACGATGCCGAGACGACGACGGCGCAAACGACGGCGCAATCGACTACGACAACGATGCGAACGACGACTCAATCGGCGACGGTGGCCACGACGGCGACGATGGCGACGACGGACGACGACGACGCACGATGACGATACAACTACGACGGCTGATAACGGGCGACGATGGCGATGATGACGGACGGTCGGACGGATGGGCTGAGGCGATCTCGACGCAAACGACAACGCAACCGACGACGACGACGCAAACTACGACGCAAGCGACGACGACGCAATCGACGACAGCGACGACGATGGTAACTGCGTCGTCTGATGACGGGCGACGACGACGACGACGAGCGGCGGCGACGATGACGAGACGACGGCGACGCAAAGGACGACGCAACCGACGACGACGACGGCGACGCAATCGTCGAAGACGACCGCGACGACGAAGTCGACGACGGATGACGACGACGGACGGATGGACGGACGGACGGGCGGCGGCGACGATGCCGAGACGACGACGGCGCAAACGACGGCTCAATCGACTGCGACAACGATGCGAACGACGACTCAATCGACGACGGCGGCGGCTACGACGACGACGACGACGGCGACGACGGACGACGACGACGAACGATGACGATACAACTACGACGGCTGATAACGGGCGACGATGGCGATCATGACGGACGGACGGACGGATGGGCTGAGGCGACTTCGACGCAAACGACAGCGCAACCGACGACGACGACGCAAACGACGACGCAAGCGACGACGACGCAATCGACGACAGCGACGACGATGATAACTGCGTCGTCTGATGACGGGCGGCGACGACGACGAGCGGCGGCGACGATGATGAGACGACGGCGACACAAAGGACGACGCAACCGACGACGACGACGGCGACGCAATCGTCGATGACGACCGCGACGACGAAGTCGACGACGGACGACGACGACGACGGACGGATGGACGGACGGACGGGCGGCGGCGACGATGCCGAGACGACGCCGGCGCAAACGACGGCGCAATCGACTGCGACAACGATGCGAACGACGACTCAATCGACGACGGCGGCTACGACGACGACGACGGCGACGATGACGAGACGACGGCGACACAAAGGACGACGCAATCGACGACGTCGATGGCGACGCAATCGTCGATGACGACCGCGACGACGAAGTCGACGACGGACGACGACGACGGCGGCGGCGTCGGTGGCGGCGGCGGCGGCGGTACCGACGACAACAACGCCGACTACGGACACGACGATCACGATAGCAACCGCGACGGCTGATGGCGGGCTGCGACGACGAGGCGACAATGACGAGACGGCGGCGCCGCCAATGACGACGCGTTTGCCGACGACGGACGACGCACATGACGACTCCGCCGACGACGACCACGACCACGACAACGACGACGATGACGATAGCAACTGCGGCGGCTGTTGACGGGCGGCGACGGCGACGACGACGGACAGATGGACGGGCGGACGGTTGGTGGCGATGATGGTGAGGCGGCGACGATGACGCAAAAGACGACGCAATCGACGACGATGCAAAAGATGGCGCACTTGACGACGACGGCGACGACGACGACGACGACGGACGACGAGGGTTGACGACGGACGTCGGCGGTGACGACGGACGATGACGGACGATGACGGCGACGAGGACAAGGACGGCGACGAGGATACGGACGAGGACAACAGCAGCACCGCGACGACGGACGACAGCGGACGACAATGCACGACGACGGCGACCACGACGGCGGCGACCACGACGACGACGATGCCGATAACATCTGCGACGGCTGATGACGGGCGATGGCGCCGACGATGACGGCGGAACGGACGGACGGGCGGCGGCCACGATGACAAGGCGACTGTGACGCAAACGACGGCGCATTCGATGGCGACGACGACGCCGACGACGGCGACAGCGACAGCGACGAGGACGACGACGACGCCGACGGACGACCGCGCCGACGACGACGACGACGACGACGACGACGACGAACGACGACGACGGACGATGTCGGCGGCGACGGACGACGACGGACGACGAGGAAAATGACGACGACGAGGACAATGTTGACGGCGACGACGGAGGACGTCGACGAGCAGCACCGTGACAACGACTACGACTACGATGGCAGCGTTGATGACGACGACGACGACCAAGACGGCGGCGACGACGACGACGATGACGATAAGAACTGCGACGGCTGATGATGGGTGACGACGACGACGATGACTGACGCACGGACGGACGGGCGGCGGCGACGATGATGAGACGACGAAGACGCAGTTCACGACGTAATCCACGACAACGGCCGCGACGCAAGCGTCGACTCCGACGGACGACCACGACGACGACGACGTCGACGACGGTCGACGACAATCGACGATGACGGCGACGACGGACGATGACGGTGACGAGGGCAAGGACGACGATGACGACGACGACGACGATAACGACAACGACGACGGAGGACGTCGACGCGCAGCACCGCGACGATGGACGACGACGGACGACGGCGGCCGACGACGACCACTACGAAGACGACCACGACGGCGACGGCGATGACGATAACAGCTGCGACTACTGATGACAGGTGGTGACGGCGACGATCATGACGGACGGACGGATGGAGGGACGGGCGGCGGCGACGATGGTGAGACGACGAAGACGACGCAAACGACTACGCAATCGACGACGACTAGAACGACCACGACCACGACCACGACCACGACGACGAAGGACGACGACGGACGACGACGGACGACGACGGACGATGACGGCGACGAGGCCAAGGACGGCGACGGAAGACCATGGACGATGACGGCGACGAGGCCAAGGACGACGACGACGGAGGACGTCGACGCGCAGCACCGCGACGACGGACGACGACGGACGGCCGCAGACGACAACGCACGACGACGACGACCACGACGGCGGCGACGATCACCACGACGACGACAGCCACGGCGACGGCGACCCCGCCTCCGCGGCAGGACGCGGGGGCCGACGCGGCAGCGGGCGCGCGGCAGGCCCGCGGCTCTCGTCGTCGTCGTCGTCGTCGTCGCCGTCAAAGTCGTCGTCGTCGCCGTCAAAGTCGCCGTCGTCGGAGTCGGATTCGTCGCGGTCGTCGTCGTCGTCGTCGTTGTCGTTGTCGTCGTCTTCGTCGTCTTCGTCGTCGTCGGTAGACAGAGGGAATCATGAACATGCAGACGACGGACGCGCAGGGTGGCGTGGGGCGGCAAGGCGAATCCACTTACACATTTTGAGCAGCATTCGGTTCGGAGAGGGGCTCGGATGTGGGGCCCCAAGCAGAGACTCTCGGTCTACCCGAACGTTGGGGGAAAGCAGGGTCCGCCCCTTGCTTCGGTTTTCCCACAGCAGGGCGAGGGGGAAAATGCGGGCTGTGGTCCTGAGCACCCCGGAACATTTTTCGCTTGTTTTTCTATGAAAGTGACAGTTCGTACTCTGCCTGCCAACTGTCTGTCAGTTTGTGCAGGAGGGCTTCGTCTGCATCTCCGCCTCCCGTGTCCTGACTCTCCCCTCCCCCCACATACTATGATGCGTGCCTGGCCCGGGCACGTCGCACTCCATGTGGCGCCGTGCTGTTCACGACCGTGTACTTCGGGCCGGCGTGCCCCATTTACACTTGCCCCGTCGTCGCCTTCTCCTATCATCGTCGTCGTCGTCGCCGCCGCCGCCGCCGCCGTCGGCACCGTCGTCGTCGTCGTCGTCGTCCTCCTCCTCCTCCTCCTCCTCCTGTTAGCCTTTTGTAGCGCCAGTTTTGTGCTCGTGTCCGCCTCCTCCCTTGATCGCCCTCCCCCCTTCGCTGCCCTCGGCCCCATCGGCTTGCCCGTCGGCCCCCTTCGGGTCCCCGTGGCCCCCTGGCCCGCTCGTCGGCTCGTTCGTGGCGAGGCCTCTCGCCGTCTTGCTGTGCCGTAGCGCCGCACCCTGAACTGTTGGTAGATCGTTCGCGTGTGCGAGTGGGTCTGCTCTAACTTTGCAACTCGCAACGCGTAGTGTACTTCCTCTGGCGTAACATCGAACATTGCCTATCAGCTGCGTAATCCTCCTCATCCTCCTCCTCCTCCTCCTCCTCCTCCTTCTCCAGTTAGCCGTTACTCGTCCACATCATCGTAGCCGTCTCTGGTCTCGCCCCAGTCTTCTGCTCGGGGGGCGCCGGCTATATACCTGCACCGGTCCCGGCCAGGCCGCTTCTGGGTCTGGTCCTGGCCTGGGCAGGATCGGTGCAGGTGTGCGGTTGGCTCCCTCCTGCCTGTTGTGTGGCGTCATCCTGGCATGTGTCCCTGTCCTCGCCCTCCTGCTGGGACCTGGCCCCCAAGCGCGGGCCTCGCCACGTCTCGAGTCTTGAAGTCCTGGGGTCTCGTTCTTCTGCCCCGCTGGCGTCGGGGTGGAGGCGTGAATTCCGTCGCGCCCCGAAGTTGGGCGCCGAGGAGGAGGAGGAGGAGGCGGAGGAGGAGGAGGAGGAGGAGGAGGAGGAGGAGGAGGAGGAGGAGGAGGAGGAGGAGGAGGAGGAGGAGGAGGAGGGGGACGAGGACAGGAGGAGGAGGAGGAGGAGGAGGCGGAGGAGGAGGAGGAGGAGGAGGAGGAGGAGGGGAGAGGAGGGAAAGGAGGGAGGAAAGGGGAGGAGGAGGAGGGGAGGAGGAGGAGGAGGAGGAGGAGGAGGAGGAGGAGGAGGAGGAGCAGGGCCGCTGGGGTGGGGCGGGGGGCTTTGGGCGCGCGGCGCGGACCAGGCCGCGGCGAGGCAGCTCGACGACGTGTCGCTCTCGCAGGTCGAGACCCACGCGGCCATCGCGGAGGAGCGGGCGTCTGCTCTTTCCCCGCGATCCTCCTCTCTCCTCCTCCTCCTCCTCCTCCTCCTCACTCCTCCTTCTCCTCCTCCTCCTCCTCCTCCTCCTCCTACTCCTCCTTCTCCTCCTCCTCCTCCTCCTCCCTCCTCCTCCCTCCTCCCTCCTCCTCTCCTCCTCCTCTCCTCCTCCTCCTCCCTCCTCCTCCTCCCCTTCCTCTCCTCCTTCCTCCTCCTCCTCCTCCTCCGCCTCTCCTCCTCCCGCTCCTTGCTCCTCTTCTCCTCCTCCTATCCTCTCCCGTCCTCCTCGCTCGTCCGCGCCCCCCCCCCCTCCTCGCTCCTCGCCCCTCGCTCTTTGCTCCTCGCTCCTCCTCCTCCTGCAGGCTGCTGCCTTAGGTCCCGCTCGCTCCTCCATGCTCCTCGTGCTAACCCGTACTCCCTGCCGTTTCCGCTCGCTGGCAGCACCCCGGCATCGGAGGTGTGCGGCGGCTCGAGAGCGTCCCCGCCGTGGTCGCCGACGGGTCCGCCCGCGGCCACGTGCCGGATGCTCGCGCCTGGTTCCTGCTCGTCCCCCCTGCTGTCTTCTTCCCGTCTTTCTCTTTCCGCCCTTCCGCTCTTCTCTTCTCGTCTCTTCCTCGCTCCCCCGCCCTCGCTTTCCCTTTCTCCTCTTCCTCTCCCACCCCCTCCTCTTCCTATTCTTAGTCTTCTTTTGCCATCTTCTTTGTCTCCTTCCTCGGGCGCCAAGGTTCGCCAGACGTGAAGACCCCGTGATCAACGGCCGCCGTCACTGACACGTCAAACACACCTCTTTCTTCTTCTTATTGTTATGTTTCTTTTTCGTTACATTATTCCTCGTCTTCTTCTTCTTCTTATTCTCCTCCTCCTCCTGCACCCGCGATGCCATCAGTGGGTCGCTCCCCCCTCGGTCGCTCGTTTGATCTACCAAGGCCGCTCAGTAGGCCGTTGACCTCCCTTCTGGAGGCAGTGTTTGCATACACCGTCGTAGAGTGGCTAGGTGAGGGGCCCGGTGAGGATGTTGGACTTTCTCGAGGACGCTCCGCCTCCTCCTGCTCCTCCTCCTCCTCCTCCTCCTCCTCCTCCTCCTCCTCCTCATCCTCCTCCTCCTGCTCCTCCTCCTCCTCCTCCTCCTCCTCCTCCTCTCTCCTCCTCCTCCTCCTCCTCCTCCTCCTCCTCCTCCTCCTCCAACCTTCTCATCTTCCCTCTTCCCCTTTCCAGGAGTACGCGGCGGAGGCCAGCCAGCTGGAGACGAACGTCCGGATTGTCAACCAGGCGGCCTCTTTGCGCCGCCCTCGGCCCGCCAGTGGCAACTCCACCTCCGAGGAGGGAAGCACAGGCACAAGCACAAACAAACGCTGCTTCTCATGAAAGTATGAGAGGGTATGGGAGATTGGGGGGAAGAGCAAGATCCAGGACGTATGGGAACAGATGGGGAATCCTGGAGCTCGTGTAGAATTATTCAATCCCTTCGCTCATTCCGCCGGCCCATTTCGCATCACGGTGGCTGCATGGTGGTGTGCTCGTACCCATGGGGAAGGGTGGGGCAGGCAGGACTGTCCTCGAGGAGACCTTCGGAGATATGGCTCGCACCCTGCCGAAGGGTCTTGGGGGGCTCTTGGGGGCCTCTGGGGGCTCCCTGGGCGCCTCTTGGGGCCGAGAGCTCGACGTGTCTGTTCGGGTTCCTCCTCTGGGCCCCCTCTTCGGGCCATCCTGGGGTCGTCTTGAAGGCCTCTTGGGCCGTCTTAGGGCCATCTTGGGCCATCAGGGGCCCTCTTGGAGGCTTGTTGTATTGTTTTGGAGCGATCTTGGGGCCTCTTGGGCCGTCCAGGGCGGTCGGTAGCTCGAAAAAACGGTACCCTCAACATCGTCTGAAAACCCATGCAGCATCAGTGATTTGTGCGTCTTCGGGGTCTCTCGAAGTCCTCTTGGAAACCTCCTGGTGCGTCTTGGGTGCTTCTTGGGCCGTCTTGGGACTAACGTGGGCCATCTTGGAACGCTCTCCTGGAATTCGTGTAGACTTATGTGTGCCTCCCTTGGCCGAGAAGAGGGGCAAGCAGTACGACATCTCGAGAAGAGAAGGGGGCCTATCAGGGGATGCTTCCCCCGTTGATCTTAACCTCTGCGGCGTCATGAGACAGAAGCACGATTGGCCTTCCCAACCCTCACGGTTCGAACTGGCTCGGTGCATCATTGGTCGTGTCTTTTTCCCGATCGTGTCTTTTCCATGAAGAGGGATGTCGGAGAGTTGTTGCGAGTGGGTGTCCCCCCGAAAAATCCTAGGCCAGCATTGTACGCCATTTTTTATAGTAGGCTCTTGGTCATGGTTTGAAGGACCATCGGATTCCCACTCGCTACCCTATTCCTGAACCTTGGCTAAGCCCCAAGTCGTTCGACTCCTGAATGGTCAAATGATGTTGTAACGTTTCCCCGTGGGCATGTTCACCTCCACGAGCTCTGCTCTGTTCGAGGATGAGGGGTGATGACTCACAGAGGAGGAGGGGGACATGGGTGACTAGCAGAGGAAGAGGGGTACAGTAGGAGGAACACCGCGTGCCGTTGACGCCAAAACGGGAAGTTCTGAAGTTGTGGAGGTACGTCGGACTCCTCTAGGGACGTCTTCGTTGGCCGAAGGTCCTCAGAGGAGTCCCCGGTCCCCTCCTGTGGATATCGACGCCGTCACGAGTAGGTGTAGGGTGGAGTATTGCCTGCAGTCGGTCCGATCGCCGAGAGGGTGGCCGCCTGCAGCTCCCTTCCGACGTTGGCCATGAGCTCGGTCCAGCGCTGCTCGTCCTCGTCCTCCGCCTCCAGGTCGGCGAAATCCAAGAGATCGCCATCCATGATCTCGACCGCGTCGGCAGACTCCGCGCTGACTCCGTCATGAGTTTTGACGCAGCCCCGATGATGGAAGCTGCGCGGGGTGTGCGGCCTAATGGCAGCCCTCACGGGCGAGGCCTACAGGCGGTCCTCACCCCGGGGGCGTGGGTGGGCGGGGGGGGGAGGAAGGGAGAGGTGCTCGCGCTTCTCGAAGTGGCTCCTGGTGACGGTCCTGAGGCGGGATTCCTGAGAAGGGGATCCCGCAACGGCACACACTGTTCCGACTCGGAAGTCCCAGCAGTTCTCTCGGGCGAAGGTGGGCTCGGGTGTTTTGCCTTCCATCTGCCCCTCTTCCCCATTCGGGGAGGGGTCTGCCCCCCCTCCGCCCCCTTTTTGGACCTGGACGGGGGGCCCCGCGAGACGTTGGAGCGTCCAAGGTGGCCCAAGATGGCTCCAAGAGCGCCTCGGAGAGCCCAAGATAAGCTCCAAGATGGCTCAAGATACCCTAAGATTCCTCAAGATGGCTCCCAAGATGCTCCGAGAAGCCCCAAGACCGCTCCGAACGCGGCTCCAAGTGGCTAGAGAGCTCCCCAAGAAGGCCCCGAAGAGGCCCAAATCCTCCCGACAGTTAAGAGAATCACTATTGTTTGTGTTGTTTTCTCGTCTTTTCGCTTCCGATGGTCTTCTGAGGCTTCAAGATGGCGCCAAGAGGGCCCCAAGAGGGGCCCACGAGATCCCCAATACGGCCCCAAGAGCGCCCCAAGAGCGCCCCAAGAGGGGCCCAAGATGCGATTTTAGGCACTCTAGAATGGCGAGGCTAACTAAGGACCCCCCCTTGTTTGATCGATGTCCTCCAAGATGGCCTGAAGAGCGCTCCCAAGGAACCCAAGAGCGCCCCAAGAGGGCCCCCGAAGGCTCCCAGACGGCCGCAAGAGGCGCCCAAGATGCCTCCAAGAGGCTCCCAAGAAGCCCCCAAGAGGCTTCAAGAGGATCCCCGAGGCACCCAAGATGCCCCCCAGACGTTCCAAGAGGCCTCCAGAAAAACCCCAGGAGAAATGCGAGGAGACTCGTAGGTCCGTCCTTTTTTCCTCCTCCTCTTCCTCCTCCTTTTCCTTATCCTCCTCCTCCTCCTCCTCCTTCTGCTCCTCGTGCGGGACTCGTGAACACCCATGGGGCGAGTCTCGATACCACCACAGTACCAAACAACAAATCCCCACAACAACCATCATGAGGATCATGTGGCCCAATGGCCAGGTAGGCGGAGACCCCGCCAGGAGAATCGCAAAACTTGTGGAGGAAATGGCAACTGCATGCAAAACTGGTGGCCCACGAGTGGGCCTGGGCTCGGAGCCCCGCTGCCCCCGAGGGGGACTGGGGCCAGACTGCTCAGCGCTTGGCAACTTTACGACGTCTAGGTTTGGCCTCCTCATCTGCATCATCACTGGCGTTACGCTTGAACTCCAGCAGCTACTTAAGAAGTGGGCCATCAAGAGTATACTGAGCAGTGATGAAGAGGTCCTCGCACTTGATGCTGCAGCACGCTCGCAGGGCGCGGGTGAACTCGGGAGCCTTCTCCTCCTGCAGCATGACGGCCCACACCCAAGGGCGCCCGGCCTTCCACGTGGGGTGCCTCGGCTTGGCTCTGAACAGCTGCGTGTCGAGCTCGGCCACGCTGAGGTCCGACAGGTACTTGACGACTTTGGCATCACCCTCGGCCAGCTTGCCCTGAAGGGCACGGCCGATCTGCTCGAGCATGGCCTTCAAGAGGACGGAGCGCAAACCCCCGCCAAGGCTGTGAGGTGTGAGCTTGGCGTCCTCCATGTCAGACTCCTTCGCCTTGTGGAAGGCAGCGCGGCGCTCCTTCTCCTCTGACTTCCATAACGTGCGCAACTGCTCGAGCTCTTTCTTGGCATCATCTTTCTTGACCACGCATACGAAGGAAGCTCTATCCTCAAGGGTGGCAGCCCGACGATCAAGAGACACAACAATAGGAATGAGCTTGTTGACGACAGTCTTGGTCGTCGCATCCTTCGGGGAGGGTCCAGCACCACGAGCTTCTTTTGGTACCTCCGAACCAGCGGCCGCCTCTCCATCGGCAGCCTTTGCACGAAGGACCTCAAGCATATCTTATCGTACCCGCAACACACCACAAGAGGCTCGCTGCTGAGCCAAACTGTTACACAGGAAGATTGCTCTGAATACGTCTGTTCTTGCATAAATTGAAGTGCTTGGCGAAATGACATTGATCGGGAAACTTGATATTGCAATACTTGCACTGAAATGCCCAGGAGGCTATCTGCTCGGGGGTACGTTTCTTGTCGCGTGCTTTGATACGTTGTTGGACCCCTTTCAACCATACTTCCCATGGGGCTTTGGCACAATCGTATATATGGTTTGCATAACTTGCTAGCTGTCCACAATACCTGCAGGTGTAACTGTACCCAGTTTTGCTTTCTGTCTTTCGAGGGGCCCGTTTCGCTTTGGCTTGTGCTTGCTGAAGTTTGCGACGGTTCTTGACGGGCGGGGCCTCTTGGATCAGCACTGGGGATACAGGAACGAGAGGAGGAGGGTAGATCGTCGAAGCCGATTTCGATCTCACTCGAGTCCTCCTCGGAGCCTCCACCACCTGCTTTCCTCGAAGGCGACGTCGAATAACCGATACTGGGGAAGGAAGTGGGACAGCAGCAGCAGCTGGGCGCCGTAGAGATAATACCCCACGGCATCTGGCCACATGGGAGTCGTACGAAGCTCGATGCACCAAGGATCCACATTTTGAACAGGCCGAGGCGTTGCATATGAATCGCTGTCGGTCTGGACGCATCGTCCCAGTGCAGAAACGTACATGCTTGGGATACCCATTGCACGGAATAAGGTCTTGGCACTTTGGACAAACTCTCAAAGTACCTCCATACGCTGTGCCCGCTTCTGGGGCCTGTGCTGCGAGAGAAGGCCTCTCCTCGAGGGGTCGGTCGGCTTCTGGTGGCCGTGCCGACCTGAGACGCCCTCGGAGGTCTTGTTTCACAAGATCGCAAAGCTTCCTCCACTGCTGGCCATTCTCTTCGCGAGTCAATTGAAACCAATATTTGTGCCACTGAGGCTCGGGCTTGGAGCTGAACTTCATCAATACCTGAATTTGTTTCCAATACCAACTTCGTAATGTCATGCGTCTGCTGTCGGGCTCTAGAGTCCCAGGACCATCTCTGAGTTCGGCTCCAAGCATTCCTACTTCCCACCGCTCCCGAGAGTACCTCCCAAGATGGCCTAAATAGGAAAGGGCTCTGATGATGATCTGGGTCTCGATGAGGTCCAGGCCGAACCACCCATAGATTACGTCCATGGTGATGTGTTTTTCTTCCATTATACGAAGGGTGGTTCCACGAGCTCGATATGCTAGATATCTGATTCACCGGCCTACGAAAATTTGATATCGATCGATGTCCTTCTGGTGGAAAGCTCGG